CTTAAAGCTCTGGAGGTCAGGAGCCTGAAATTAGTCTTGTGGAGATAAAATGATGGTATCATCAGGGCTGATCTTTCTGAAGGCTCCTAAATGTAATCCATCTCTTGCCTCTTCTAGCTTCTAGAAACTTCCAGAATCTGTAGCTTGTGCCCACATCACACTAAACTCTGCTGCCATCATCACATTGCCTTCTTCCTCCTTTGATCTTCTTGCCTCCATCTCTGGGACCTTTGTTATTACATGTAGGACCTACTCAGAGACAATCTCCTCATCTCAAAATAATTAACTGCATCATATTTGCAATAGGTAATATTCACAGGGTCTGCGGATTAGGACGGCTCTCTTGAAGGGGGTAATTTTCAGGATACCACATGTGGATACATTTTCCTCTCTGCAACTCACTTTCATAGTCTTTAAAATGGAGTATTTGCTTCATAGGCTTGATGTTTGTACAAGAACATGAGGTGCTGCTGTTAAAAAAATACTTGAAATGTGGAAGTGGTTGTGGAATTGAAGATAATCCACAGAAGCTTGGAGAATGCTGGGAGAGCTTATAGAGAAGGTTTAGATTTTCCTTGATGAAACGATTGCTGGGAATTTGAATTTTAAACGTGAGATCTCAGATCAAAATGAGGACCTTGGTATTGGACACTGGAAGAAAGGTGGTACTTGATAAAAAGTGGGGGAGAAGACACTGAGTTTTGTTTCACTGTTGGGTGGAAAAAAGAGCTTGTAAGTGATCAACTCTTTTTCTTCCTGTGATATTTTTCCCTGATCACGTTGCTCTTCTGCTAATTTCCATCTCCAATTGTTCAGCATAGATTTTCTTCAAGACTTCTGCCTGGCGTTTTAGCTTTTCATCTGTGTCCTTGTATATGTCATCGGAAAAGTAAACCCTCCATTCTCCTGCTCCATTTTCTCTATCATCTCCACCAGCTCCTCTATTTGAGCTTCCTTCTCAGCTTCATCTGCACTTTGCTTATTATTGAAGGCACAGCACCGGGACCCACACTCCTTGATGATGTTTTATAGGTTCACATCTGATTCGTCTAAAAAGTCACTCAGTGTCTGACCATCCAAATCATCTTTGCGAGTGAACAACATGATCATGTGCTTCATGGCCGCCACCCCAAAGATAGCCTTGATCAATGCAACTGTTTCCTGCTCCTCATCCACGTAGCGGCCCAGCTGTAGTACCAGGTTAATGGCATGGGGCCCAGGGCAGGAGAAGAGGACACACCTGCTGATTTCCTCACAGGTGGTCTGCAGTTTTTCCTCGTTATCAAAGAGCCCCCAGGG